TGGAATCAGGGTTTTTAGCCACCTCACCTAGGTGAACTACCAGTGCTCCACCAACCCGGTTATAGCCCCGGACATCGGCTTTTCGTCCTCTCATTTTGGTGGGAAAACACCGCCACGAGAAGGCAGTGTGAAGGGCTTCCTCAAAGAAAGCTATTCGAGATGCTTGGTCGTATGGTAGCATTTCGCGAGTTGCAAGGGAACGGTAACCAGCCGCAACATCAAACACCCACCCGCAACCATACTGAGGCTTTTGGAGGCACGTAGTCATTAGGTTGATTAAGTGTCTCGTGCCTCCCAGGTTGAGGTCCGAAAGACAGACTATTTGGTTGGAGACATTGAAGGATATGGCAGTGAACCGATATCAGTGACCTTGTTCTCATCATTCCTTATCCGGACCTTATAGAGCCAGAACATTTGGTCAATTCATCCACAACAAGACCGGGATCCAGCTTACTTTTTACGGTCGTTGGTCTCTGTTATAGGAGTCAGACTTCGAATTATGACGGAGGCTATCACTATAGTGACGAATAAGATTCACCTTGCACAATCGTTGCGAGTTTCCTTCTTGAAAATGGGACTGATCAGTGATCCGCCCCAAGATGAATGAATGTGCTCCTGCGTCCAAATGTTGTGTAGTAACTTAGTAATAAACCTTACGAGGTTATTGCCACTTATGTTGAAAAGAGTTGCAAGAAGCCCGTCCGGTCCCGTTGCCTTTCCTCGCTTCAGAGTTTGAATTTCAAGACCCCAGAGGATGGCATGACACTGCCTACGGTGCTTCGGTTGCAGATGAGGTAATTTGGCGAGCTCCAGACCAGCTAAACTGTTCGCTGGAGTATTCCACCCTGCGATCAAGCCATTGTCCCCTATTTTGAATAGCTTGACCACTTTTATCGCAGACTGTTTCACTAACTGGAGCTCGCTGATATCCCGTGTTGTGTATCAATTGGAATTGCTTTTGACTACTCCTTGAAGCAGCTGTTACGTCCATTTCACTAGCTGTCGTTGCTCACCAGTTTTTACGGTTCTTCTTGAGGCCGACGTTGCAGACGCTACCTAACTCTGCTTTGATCATGGCAGGTCGGGATTTGACGTTTTTTTCTCAATCAGGACTGCTGACTCATGGGATGTCCAATGCCTGCAACGGACTTAAGGCTCAGATCCACAAGCAACATTCGCTACCGAAAGCTTTGCTCGCCTAATCTGATCTGTTCATTTACACTAGCAAGTTGACTAGCGCTTAACTCACGCACTAACTCTGACTCAACGTGCACGTATTTCCGGAACAAACAGGCGATGGTGAGCTAACTGACGTAACTGGTTTTGTCGCCGGTTATTGAGTCGATCAGTCTCAACACAGGTGGTTCGATAGGACCTGGGATTTTGCACTAAGCCGCGCCAACGCTAGCTTACTGCGGTCTTATCGATTTGAGTTATCGTACGAGTTGAACAGGAGCGCCACGTTACTGTCTGTCGATAGCTGTGTCGGAAGTTGGTCTTGAATAGGAACAGATAGTGATCTGCTCAGAACTGAAGAAGTCAATCTTCGTAATCTGTTCGTTGGCTGGGCAGAGCACAACGACCACCTGGGCAAGCTCCCGATGCGTTCAGTTTCCCAACTTGCGCATTAAAGTCACCTGCAAGTAAAACTATGTCGGAGCTTTGACTCAACCGAGTTTATCATACAACCCGTTTTTGTGTGCTTCAGAACTGCAGTTGGCCGGCGCATACGCTGAAATGATTAATAAACACGTTTCGGCCGCTGATAAACCTTTGGAGCCGCATAGCACATAAGTTACTTGACTGGGGTCCAATTGATTAGCGACATTTCGGTTGTGTTATTATCTCAGTTTTTACAACCATCAAATAAGCACTTGTGTGCGCCGGTATTGTTTGCTGTCTTTTGGCTGCCCTTTTGGATGCGAGAGCGGAATGGGGATTGGAATGTTGAGAAGCTGTATTATTGGCCACAGTGCCTACGCCACGTTCCCTGCTGGACGGGATTCGTTCTCGCCGGATGTGCAGAGGAAGCACCTCGAAGACAAATCCGGTGCACTTAAATGGCTTATATTACTAGGATCCTGGATT